AGTAGTTCCCCTTCGCGTTGTCATGCGTTTCGCTTTTAACTGCGTCTGGGTTCTGCCAGATATTATTTTTAAAAAGCTTTACTTTGTCTTTGGAAATTCAGTAGCATATAAGTGTATGCAGGGAACGACTGTAACAGGTACAATGGGGACCTGAATCTCTGTCAGCTGTCAGTAGATATTCACACCCATCTTCTGGTTTTTGCACGCATCGAAATTCGAACCCGCGTTTGGTTGTTTAGAAGATGAACGCTTTACTCACTGAGCCGTGGCCTCGTTGTCCTCTGGATTCTGATCAGAACTCTTAACGATGGTTAAGGTCGCTCACCTTTCGCGTTACTGGACACATTCCTGATGTTGTGCTCAGAGCGTTGAACGTCTCGCCCAAAGAACGCGTGTTCGAGCTTCGTCGGTTGCGAGACCTCGGTGTTGTTCAGTGCTGACGGATGGCAACCATTAAACTATAAATGGCCATTCCAGTTTCCCTTATCCTTGCCTCTATTCGTCTTCTGCACACATGAGTTGTCGCTGTGCGACTGCCTAAGAATTTCTATATCGATCTCCTTAGCACAACGGAAGGAGTGAGTCCCGTAACGCGATTCGTGGCGCCCTATACCCTATATATGTATATATTCACATACATGATTCACTAAATGAATACAGAAGATACTCGAAGTCGTTTTATATCATTTTACCCACCTCGCTTTGTTGTCTCCTTTTGTGATGTATATATATATATATAATGGTAGGGGGCGCTCACCGATCGTTCATACGGAACTCACTCGTTCCGTTGTGCCTTAAGGGCTCTCTCTCGAGCTCAACCAGCCGCCGAACAGCGGCGCATGATATAGGCAGAATGGCATTACCGGCAAGGAAAAGAGAGACTGGAATGGCCATTTCCGACCTATTAGCCGTCGTCAGTGAACCATATCCGAGCCCGAAGTGTGGAACACCCGAGCCTCAAACTCGCGACCTGTTGGTTTAGAAGTCCACGTCTCTACCCACCGGGCAAAGATTTAAGTAATTGTAAGTCCAAATTGCTTAATGTGCTGATCTGCTGTTTTTTAGGCCGTGTTTCAACTTTGATCTTTTATTTTGAGGTCTGGCGTGCAGTCGCCACTTAAGTGGCTCCTTATCAATCATTTCGTTGATAAATGGATTTTGCTACAGCTAAAATGTCCTACCGATAATACACATGCATGTGATTGGCCAGCTGATAATAGGACATGTCCGAAAAATTAACAGGTCTGCCTTGAGCCACTGAAGGACATTTTTGGACTTCGTCTTTTGCTACAGTGGAACTGCTCTGAGTTCAAAGAATACTGAGGATCAACGACATTCGATATCAGTGCGTGGTGTCTGGGTTTCTAAGCAGTCAGTCATAATGCTTATCTCTGTTCTTATGTTAGTAGCATCGCGTAATCGGAGCCGCAACTTAGACTGGATTTGCACTGTCGGCCTCTACTTGCTCCATTGTTACAATGGAGCCGCTGCAGAGTAGCCTTCCAAAGAGGGCTCCCGCAGTCCCCTTAAGAGCCAGATCTTGGCATACAGTGCATTTGGCATTAAAAAGCCTATTTTTATAATGCCAGCTGTCTCCATAGACTGCCATTCTTGAACAACGTCATCTGACGAACCCCATCACGGAAGTAGGTGCCCGCCGATATTAGAGGTGGTCGTGCACTGAACTCCAGGAGTACATATTCCCGTGTCCCAAACCCAACCTTGATCCTAATCCTAACTCACGTGACCTGGATCTTATCCCCAACCCTAACCCCCCCTCCCCTTGGAATCTAGCGCAAGGCTGCGGAGTAGTCAGCTACAGTCAACTGACGAACCAAGCACACATCCTTCTTTTGCGCGTCCGATGACGGTCACGTGGTTTAGTGGCTTCAAGGCTCGCATCGACAACCAGTAAGCCCACACTTCTTCCTGTTTCAGGTGATTGCGTTCGGGATGGGCGAGATTTAAACCTTATAATTCCTGTCCAAACCTCATCGACATGAGCGGACTGCTATTTATGGGCTGTCTGATAGCAATACACTTAGGGCTTGCCAATTCATTTGCACAATCTAGTGATTTCATTTGGTCACACCCAACCTATTTCTGCATGGATCGCCGTTGTTTCTCAAGGGTGCTATGAGGGACGATGAAACTTTCTGCAAAAGCCGCTAATCAATATTGAGTTTGCGTAAACCGGTTTTACTATTTCTGGTCGTCTGGACTGATAATTAACATCTTATCTATTGCAGGCGATTACACTATGCTGTAAAGTAATAGAATAGAATAGGTTTATTGTAGCGCCCCTTGGGCACTGTCAGTCCCCTTTGGGTACAATTACTCGGAAGAATTGTTGGTTGTGACTGGTACTGCTTGTTTGCTTTAGTCATTGAGCAGTTTTGTTAGGATATTGCTCACTGCAAATAAACGAAGAAAATCCTGGAATACTTCGGAGTGAATGTAAGAAGCGACATGAGAAATGGACCAAAGACCCAAACATAACATACCTTGCACTACTAGCAAGGACAACCAAACACTCTTGAAAGCAGGCGAGGGGGCCGTGGATCTTTACAGGAACTGGAATAATGAAAACAAACGTGACTTAAAATCAAGCCCTGCAGCCGAAAATTCCGTTCCGAAGTCTCATAACCGCTTCAAACTGTATTTCGGCCGATCCGGAAGCTTTAGTTCAGTCATCAGTGAAGTATAGTGGCATACAGCCTTTCCTATCAGCATTTACCTAAAACCTGCGACAATGTTGGTATAAAGTATAGTGGTTTTTTCACCGATGACTCACGTTCGCATAGACTTTGTCATTGCTCTCAGGGAGAAAAAAATCCATTTATTATTGAAACTTTGAAGAAAATTACTTCATCTCAGAGTTGGTAATTAAGAGAATGACAGGATGTGATTTCAGCGGGATTATCTACCCCAGTGTTGAGTATACCGCTCCCGAGAAGCTACATACTCTCAAGACTTACTGGTCCAACCGCCTTCCCCTAAAATGTGATCACTGCTCACTCAAGACGGATTGCTGACAGTTGGGAAATGCACCGGATATGCAAACAGAGTCTGCTCTATTTTCTGTTTAAAAGTGTATCGTCATCGAAATCCCTATCACAAAGTTTTGTTTGTCACCCCGAGTCGTGGACCGCAAATCAGAATCCTGCAAATGTCTGTTAGCCGGCGAGTGTGGACAACGTGGTCTCGAAACCGGCATGTACCGTATCACGCACACCCGACAGTTCGACCGTCGATTCGACTATGTCCACCGTGTGCCACACGCCAAGGTTCAACAGGCGCGGTTACCTGAGCGCGAAGTAGTTTATAGTGATGGTAGACTTGTGCAGCATCTAATTCACTCTCTCATTCTCATCTCCCATCTGAACCCGGTGTAAAGACAGAGTCAAGAGGACCGGAGGCAGAGTAGGGCGTAGGTGGCTAGCAAGGCTGAACCCGCACCTAGGCGTGCCATCACACCCCTTGTCCGCAGTACGCACTTGACCAGGATTTTTCACCACCAACAACAACAGCCCACCAGCGGTCACAAGAACGAGGATGATGACTGCGCAGCCATGCCTGCCAACGGTATCTCCATCGGGAGAGCGAGCGCATCTACCGGCAGGGAACCAGGCGCTAGAAACTGCCAACGCATACCAGGCTGCGAAGGCCATGGTTTGCTGGTACTGACATAGCCCACTCTTTCAGATCGTTTGACCATCAAGCACACGCACATCATTTCGACCACCGTGGTGGACGATTTCCACCCTGTGCTCCACAAAAAGATGAGGACAGGGACGGTGACAAGCATGTGATTTCTTCGGTAGTTGACTTGCGCTGCATCCACTGCACTCCCTCCCCCCCCCACATGGGCCCAGTTTCATAGCAGAGTCAAAAAAACTGGAGGCGGGAGATAGATCAGGTGGCTGACGCAGTGAAACCTCGCACCTAGTCGTACCATCACATCCTCCAGTTCATAAAGAACACTGAGCAAGATTTAACAAGACAGGGAAGGAAGGGGGCGGTTCGGTTCCGTCGCTACACCCCCGATGTCGGCATTTGATATGGGTGCGCATTCCGAATACCACCTGCCGGATTCCGATCTAGCTTCTGAGTTAGTCCAGCGCATCTACTGCGTGGACTGTATTAGGGGTAAACCACACACATGGAACATGATGTCAGTTTATTGCACATTTTTTCAAAGGAACACGTGATCCTTCTGAATAGTACTTTTCAAGCGGACATTATTCAAAATGGCATTACCGACAAAGACAAGGGAGACTAGAATGGCCATTTCTGGCTTAGTAGCCGTCGTCAGCCAGTCATACCCAACTCCGCAATGTGGAACACCCGAGGCTCGAACGCGCAACCTGTTAGCTAGAAGCCCACGCCTCTAACCACTGGGCCACGAGCCCGTTGCCCTGTCGGTTTTCGATCGGAATATACAATGGTAAGGGGCGCTCAACAATCGCTTGTCTTTGTCGGTAGTGCTATTCTGTCTATATCACGCGCCGCTGTGCGGCTGCTGGTTGGGCTCGAGAGAGAGCCCGTAAGGCGCAACGGAACGATTGAGTTCCGTGAGGGCGATCGGTGAGCGCAACCTACTATTAGACATTATTCACCACGTAATAAATGTGAAGGCCCAAATTTAGTGTAGATCATTTCGGAACGAAACAGGAAGTGCCGTAAGATACCGAATCATCAGAGTAAATGCACGCATCAATGGGAGTCTCCGTTATTTAGTAACTTTCGCCCTGGGCGGATAGCACTTAAACGGCGCTTTAGTAGTATTTGCAGCACAAAAACCGTCAAGAGCCGCTCACATATGATTGCCGAGGTTGGGCATGAACTGTGTGACATGAGGAAAAGCGGGATTTCGGCATAACGCTTCTGTAATTTCAGTAAGTCCTACAGAGCTACAGCGATACTGGCAACAGTCGTTCATTCGAATGAGTTACTGCGCGCGAGAAAGAAAAAAATGCAGTTGATCTTGGCATATCCCGTTAGACATCATTATTTGCTACTTTGGGCAGCAAAGGCAGGCAATATTTTCCAAAAGTGCTTACCTGGGCAACTTTCTGCCCCACTGAAGCCTCCAGAGAGACGTTTAGAATACGCTCATTGGATCGCGGAAACTGCCACACCGGTGAGTTGTCATTAATGTCAAGTAGCCGTATGATAATCTGAGCGGAACCCGTCAACGCCGGTTGGCCATGATCGCGCGCACAGACATCCAGTACGATTACCTCCTCCCGCTCCCTGTCTAGCGGACGCCAATCCTGCAGGTGGTGGTTGCTGGTTGCCTGCGAGGCCTGACTGCTACCACCAAGGCGTCGCTGAGTCACAGATCCCAGATACAGTTCGCCAGAACGGGAAATGGTGAACCACCGGGCTGAAGAGGAGGGGGAGGTTATAGTTGGGGCTAGGAGAGGAACCGTGGGAAGCTGCCTCTTGCCGATCCCGCTTGCAGCCCCCTCTGACCTCATGAACTCCGGCGGGATAGTTCTAGGCTGTTGGAGCCAGTAATGAAGCAGACGATTGCTCTCATCACTGTCACAGTCACTGACGTGCACTCGGCCGATCAGCAGAGGCGGAGCGGCTCCCTCGCTGACATTCAGCTCGTAGATGGGACTGTCAAAGACGGGAGCACAGTCGTTTACGTCCTGAATGTTTATCTGAACAGTCGTCGTTGCAGTGTTGTGGTGGAGAGCCCTGGAGGCATTACTTCCGTCCTCGTCGCCACCATCATTGACGGTGATTGTGAGATTTATGCTCTGAACCGTCTCACGGTCAAAGACAACAGAGGACCGGAGGTCGCCGGTCCGGGGGTCCAGGCTGAACCAAGTTGACGGTGGATGCAGCATGGCGCGAGTTTCCTTGTTGACGCTACTGTGATTCTGCCCATATGACTGGGCGTATCTCACAATCGGATCCCTGCTCAGATGGAACCGTAGTCCAGCCTGACCACCTAGGGTGTAGGGATCATCAGCGTCCTTGGCGCTGAGCTGCATAATCAGGGTGCCCGCCGGAAGGCCCTCAGCGATGGTTCCAGTTGTCGGTCCAACAAACTGTGGAACTGAGTCGTTCTCATCCAGAACGATAAGACTGAAAAGGACGCTGGTGGATCTGGCAAAGGGATGGTGCAGTCCACCCATGCGAGACTGTGATTGGGCTAGAATAGTGTTACCAAATCGGTTTGTTTGATCCCAACACTCGAGGCGGATGAGGTATTTTGCGGAGACCTCACGATCCAGAGCCTTGTTTGCCAGGCGGATTTGAAAACGCGACTTGAAGGAACGACTGTTGGCAGTAACTGCCAGCTGCTGGATCGTCAGCAGGTCGCTATTAATCTTACAGGTGGGCGGCTGGCCGATTCGTTCCATCACCTGCTGAAGGGTGATTCCGTTAGTTCGCAGAAAAGCCTCCCGCACGGTGGAGTCGGTCTGCAGGAAACGCTCCTCTGCGGCATCATCTAGATCTGTCACTGAGAAGGTGGCAATCAGCTGGTCGGGCGGACCGTTTTCCCGCACCTCAATAGTAAGCTGGGAATTGGGGACACGCTGAAGCATATCGTAGGACTGGAATTTCGTCGTCGACAGGTGGGAATGCAAGCTGACGCTGGGAGGATGATCGTTTATATTGATCAAACCTATTGTGATCTTGGCCTCGTCGGACCAGAGTCCATCGGTGACAGTGATGGGTACTTGGAAGGAAGTCTGTTGTTCGTAGTCCAGGTCGCCCTGCACACGTACGTCTCCTGTCCGCTGATCCACTGCGAAGAGATCGCAGACGGCGGGCGTGGCTGTGGCTGCCAAACTGTAGGTCAGTTTGTCTAGGTCTGACTCGTCCCTATCGGTGGCCTTCACCTTGTAGACAATACTGCCGATGGGGCTGTGCTCTACTACCCACACGAAGTCTGCTCGCTTCTCAAACTCCGGCGGATGATCGTTTATGTCCTCAACAGTGATGTTTAGAAGGAGGTATCCAGTCTGCGGCTTGCTTACTGCTCCGTCAACTGCGGCAATTTTAATCTGATATGAACTCTGTACATCGCGATCGATCTCCTTGTTGAGAACAAGCCAGAGTTTCATGGGGCTGGGGCCATTACGTGGATCGCCTTCGGAGCTCTGAGATTCAGCTGAAAAGTCCAAGTGTTGGGATTTTCCCGTCCACTCGAGGGTAAATAGGTCACTGTTTGGGCTGTTGTGATCGATTTCGTAGTGGGCTGTCGTGTTTTCTGGATAGGCGTCAGGATCCACGGCCAGCGGAAGTTCAAATTTGGCGCCAATCTTTGTGTGCTCCTTGATTGGTAGATCCAAGACGGACATCACCTGATTTCCCAACTGACCACTTTCCCTGGAACTGCTGCCTCCATAGCGCAGCGGAATCTCTGGTTTTTCGCGCCTGCCCTGAAGAGGCCAGCTGGGTGCGTTATCATTAATGTCGAGAACACGGAGTGTCAGGGAGAGAAGACACTCTTCTACACTAAAGTCAAGGTTATTTTGAAGGTCAACCATGAGAATGAGGGAGAGAGAGCAATCCGATTTGGAGCTCGGTGTCAGGATCTCAGAACGTTTGGCGCTGATTTGGTTGTCCATATTGGAACAGCAGGTGCCCTCGGTGTAACAGAGGCTCTCTCTGTCGAGACGGTTCTTGATGAGAAGTAGGGATTCATTGGTGGCTTCATTGAAACTAACTCGAAAGATGTTAGATTCGAGGAGGGTGAATCTCAGGGGCAAAAGACTACGCCAAGGGAGGCCGGAGCGCTCCAGCGCTTGACGCGTAACCTCGTTCAGGTTCTCCACCACACTGTTTTCATTCTGTTCTTCAACCACAGATATTTCGGCTCTCAAGTTGTTCCCCACAGCACACTGGCTCAGCGCGGCTAGACACCGACCTGGCAGTTGGCAAAATAAAATGAAGAAAAGGAGAAGAAGAAGAGGGAAAATCAGAGTAGACCAAGAAGACATCATCCGGGACGGCAGAACTATCCTCCGTCTGTTCGACGTCAAAGCTGCCTTGGACCCACTGTCTGTGGAGGGCGCTGTGACGTTGAGACCATTGGGATTTATTGCGCAGTGGGATAAATTGGGCACACTAGGTGTCAGTCGACGGATGATGGATGCCCGGAAGATCCGTCCGCGGTCTCCAATGGCCAGGAGACAACGCTGGGAGCAGTGGGGCAACGATTGGTCAAAACTCTGGACCAATAGTGCGCATGCCCTGATGCTCCTGCGCGCGCGGCATCAGACGAACACGTGTGCGCGTGCAGCTCGCCACCGTAATGTTGCCGTGGCAGGCAACGAACCCACGTGTGACAAACGGTGAAAACCCCAGACAGGACCCTTTGATCATGGTTTGGCAACGCCCGACCCATGGCAAGGACCGTCAACCATCATACCCGGTTTGAGTTACCACTAAGAGCAAAACAAGCCAATCTGTCCACAAAAAATGCATGCGTGGATACGTAGACCCAAATGGTATGTGCATACCCATGCGCTGCCCTACGTATTTCAGGACTCAATGCGCGCACCGCTTGGTACACTGACAACAGACGCCTAGCTGAGAATGCAGGAGGCGTCAGTACTATTATCATACTATCATGGCGATGCCCGGTGGGAGTTCTGGCCATCATACACATTTACCGGCTTCGCCAACTTCATGCTTTTCGGAAAAAAATATCTACCGGGGGGTGGCAGCTAAAGGACTGCAGAGGGTCCAATACCTCTCCAGCAGGCTACATCTATGCCGACTCTTTTGATAAAATATCTTCTGGCTTCAAGTCGGGCGGACCGTCGCCTAAAAGCAAATAATAAATGAACATTCAAGCTTATCAGATATTCTGGACATTTGGAGTTTTAATTAACTTGGCGTCAGAGCTGGCTACTTAGCTGGCCGACCCGACAGAGGATTCTAAACCAACCATGAATGTTTTAAACCTAAATAAAATTTTTACGCAGTGGTCCGACTTTGCAAGCTCTGGAAGCAGAGAGAACGGCCATAAGAGCTGCGTACAACTTCTAAATATAACTATTTTGAGGGGCTGGAGTGTTTGCCTTCAAACGCGTCTGGCGTTTTTACTTCAAAAATTCTGTAGTACAAAAGACTAGTAAACTAAAAGACTGAGCCATCCTGCCGCAAATTAAAGCTAGAATGCCGATTGTACAGCAAAGTTCGCCTTAAAACTGCTGCGGTCATCATCGGAACACTTACGTGGGCTAAGCTAAAGGTCATGCAGTCAACTGATGACGAAAAAGAATGTGTTATTGTATTAACTTAGGGAGCTGAACTATATCATCTCAAAGTTTACCCGAAAATTTTAGGTATTTGGCCACAAACCCGCGATTCACTTTCCCAGAGCATGGGCTGAACGTCGCATACGCATTCCACGTACGCGGGCAGTATGTCGTTTAATGAAACCTGGCCCCCGAAGCGGGAACCAGCTCGTGTGTGACACTTGTAGAGAATCAGTTCGCCTTTGTCAGATACCGTGCCTGATCCCATCACCAGTTGTTTGGCATACTAAAATCGTCGAATTGTGCACAGGAGAGGGAGAGAGGGCGAGATCGAAATTATGGAATACATCCTCATGACGTATAAACGTACCCATCAGTAATACAAATGTGATGCCCGTGAATACATCACAACCTGGAAAGATTCGTGTCTTTGAGGGCTACCAGCTGACGAAGCAAATGTATCCTTTTCAGGACTGAGAGTGATGTTACGGTGGTTTCTTCTTAGCGCAACCTCCCTCACATTCTCAAGTGCCTGGGATCAGAACCGGCCTTTATGCGACCCGATGCGTCTGGAGAGAGGACAGGGTCATGCGTGGGTCACTCGGGGACGGGGTGTTTAACTCTGTCATTCACTGCATCTGCGTTCACCTCCAGTCATCTTGGATTTGGTTTGGTTTAGGGGATTGAGAATGCCGTTGATACCGTGCCGGTATGTCGCTTTCTAAATTGACTCACTCGTAAGTCAGCAAGGTCAACTCCAGTAGGCACGCAATGGGCGTTGCTCACTGCGACGGTAGATAGTGACCACAGCAAGGGGTCGCGCGAGTGAAAGTTCGACTGCCGTTGCTGAGGATACCCTTCGTGTGCTTCACAGCAAGGTGAAACAGGCAAGGTGAATTGCGAGTGATATTTTTCTGAAATGTCTAGCGGAAGGAACTCAAAAAGGCTCTACTGACATAACGATTGGTTAGATTGCCCTTTGGTGACAGCGGCAGAGAAAAGGTCAAACCAACTTGCACAAACCTTTTCCCGCTCTGTCGTAATGTACGCATATGCAACAGTTATTTCCTCACCGCGACTAAGAAATAAACGCGAGATGACGCGATGGACAAAACTGTGGCCGGAGCTATCACCCCTATGAGGCCAAAGTATTAAAAGTATGCATCGAATTTCTCACTGCTGAACTAAAATTTCCTCAACTATCCGCAATTTCGACCAAGCCGACCGTATGTAGTCAGAATTTAGACAGCCAAGCGACCTCTTCGCAATCTGAGGTGTGTAAATCTGTTACTACGACCAATTTTCCTTTCAAAAATCTGTCGAAGATAGTTAAATGTTCCTCGTCGCGAGTGGTTTCACGATAAAGTTTCGAAGGTTTGAAATGATCAGTGGTCGTTTATCTGGCGACTTAATCTAATCGGCGTCCGCCCTGGAATCGGGACAGGCCAGTGAATACTGCTTCCCTTTCCACTGTGTCTGACTTCGCCTGCAATTTGTAAGGGGGCCGGCAATATTTTCCGGGGAGGAGGGGGTGCTGCGAGCGTCCCGTTGTTCATCAGGCTCCGAGACGCCCAGTAACGCGGAAGTCACGCTTTTTTGTTCAGCCATGGTTCAGGCTTTGCGTCGAACCTCAGTTCTACCCGATGATGACCATCAAGCCAGAAAGAGCTCACATGGCCTTCGCTTCCACTGGCTGCAATAAGTTTCCTGTCAAAAGTGAATGAACCGACCGTTACAGGCAGTGACGCCCTCCATATGTTCTCCGCAGCTGACTGTGGCCCCGGCGTGAACTAGTTTATATTAAGGTAGACCAGCGGAGCATTGGTCGAACTACTTCCCTCTCGTCAACGTACAGTATGGTGGGCTAAATCATGAAATGTCAAACGGACTTCCGAAATGCGTTTTCTTTTCGAAAAGATTAATTAAGTGGTGTTGTAAAACTAGTCAGCGTGCAGCATGATTCTATGATAATTCGGCTACCTCATGATGCCGGCCTTTGAAAGAACTTCCTTTCGACTGCATGCTAAAACTTTACTCTGTAAAAAAATGACTACTTTAGTAGCATGCATTTTTCTCATTGTTTTTCGATGCTGCTAAAAGTCCAATTATATTTCATGGAAAACATGCACAAAAATATTAATTCTTTCGCTCATTCGGTAGACAATTACGTCTTCTTCCAATCTTATACTCGAAGGAGGGGTATAATTCGGTTTTCAAAAACTTTTCCAATTCCCGAATAATTTTGAACCCGCTCTGCTATCACACTTGGATTCAAGGTTTTCAAACTACGAGCCATGTATTTCCAGCGTACGGAACACCACACATTTCTCTACAGTATTAAGAGGAGACCTTATGAGATTCATGAAATTTAACACTGTATTTGATCCGTATGGTTAACTTTACAAGCCACATTGGTAAATGCAGAGACATGATGATGGATGAACGGCCATTTCACGGTATTTAAATTCCCACAATTAGAAACTATCTTAAAACCTAATTGTGTCCCTCTTTCAAGTATAAAATTAGAATAAGTAATTTTCCACTTAATAAGCAAAAGGATGAATATTCCTGTGCCTGCTTTCCATGAAATATAATTCGAAATTTAGGAACATCGATAATCAATGGGAAAAATGAATGCTACGTAAATAGTCATTTTTGGCAGAGTATTGTATTTGCATACAGCCGGAGGAAAGTTCTTTCGAAAGCCGGCATTCTGAGGTAACTGGAGCATTATAGAATTACGTTGGAGGCTACCTTGTTCTGCAACCCTACTTAATTAATCTTTTTGAAACGAAAACGCATTTCGGAATTTCGGTTGACATTGCAGCATTTAACCCACCCACTGTAGGCTCGATGTCATGAGAATATCGAAACGGCCCGAGACGACTTCGGGAGCAGTAACTGACAAAACTAGACACCTCGTCTACGCATACCAGACACAGTCTGGCGTCCATCACATGTAGTAAGCTACTGTAAGGGCAGTCTCGATCTCGCATACATGACTATGCAATAAAGACCAATGCGGCCTTGCGCCCTGTCGTTTGGAGTACTCATTCAGCCTCTCCCCTGACGATCGTTCAAGCCATGCCTCACAAGGCCTCGCGACGTATTCAAGCAGCCCGTCTGTGCGTGCCAAACACTTGTCTGACCCCTAGTTCATGTACCAGACCGCCATCCACAGAGGCTTCTGACTGTCCGCTAGTAGTGTTCATCTGCAACAACTAGTCTTTCCACAGCTGTCCCTGGGGGATGACATGCTTGGCTGCCTTGTGCAGGAAGAGAAAATTGAAAAATGGGGGACTCGTGAGGAATACGCATGAAGTAACGTCACCTATTGAATTTCCTTAGACAGAATTATGGTGATACAGTGAGTCAGTAGTTAAAGGTCATTTTTTGAGCCGGGTAGCAAGAACATTTTTCTAAACATTCCTTGAGGCATTTCAAATTTGCTTGATTTCCGGTGGAAAGCCCTCTTCTCGCGGTAAGTATTGGTTGCCTGAAGCGTTCATATAAAATAAGGGTTATCTTATTATGTGCAGCTACGAAATCCCAGGCATTCAGAACAGGCTGGTCCTGTGCGCGGTTGACTGATGGTGAGGATGATGATGATGATGATGATGATGATGATGATGATGATGATGATGATGATGGCAGCCCCGCTGATCTGTGCCGTGGGACGGACACAAACGAAAATATTCATATGACAAAGTGGCTAGCAAATGTTGCTTTCGATA